GTTTCATAACCATGATTATAATATATGTCACATTCTCTTCCAGAAATGGAATCAAATCAAAGGTTCTAATTGGTGATTTGTCATCAATTCATAATTTTGTCGATAATAAGAAGACATCTATTTACTTTTGAGGTATATTCGAGATATAAAAAGAAGCATATATCTTCTTTGGCATGTTTTCATTAATAATAATTTTTTTTTGCATAAAATAATTTAAAATATTTGTAAATTCATACTCGAGTAATAAATTGATGCATTTATTATTAGCTTTTTGGAAGAATTGCAATTTTCTTTTGATGATTTCAAACAATTCCATGATTTCAATGAATCGTTCATTATCAACTCTTCATCTATTAGTCTTTTATGGACTTTATAATGAAGAAATATAATTTTATCACAATACCTTATCACAATACCTTATCACAATACCTCAAGGATGTCATTTTTTTTATTTAAAAATATTTTTTTTTCTTTAAGAGATATTATTTTCTTTCACAATTAAATCTTCAAGATTCATCAGAGGTAAATGAATTTTCACATCAAAAGCTCATGACAAATAGTTAGAGCCCAATTTATCAAGAGTAATAAATTCAAGTTTTTTGATAAGTGAAAAATAACATATAAACAAAAAATCGTTACAACACCATAGAATATTCAAATTAAAAAACAAGAAATTGAAAGACTAGATTGTCTCAAAATCTTACCTCAAAACTTTACCTCTACTTAGATCTTTTCCTCAATTGGTTCATCACTTAAAATAGAATTCATGAATAGTACTTTATAAAGAAATAAGTCATACTAATAATGTGTTGTAAAATAAAGAAATAATCAATTAGAAAAAGAAAAATTAGAGAAATAAGATGAAGCAATGCAAAAATATATTATATTTCCATTCTTCTCTTCTCTACTTATCTTTCATAGATTTATAAAAGTATAAGCCTTATATATAGGGGTCAATAGGTGATAAGAGTTACAGAGAATAAACATCTACTAAATAAGAGATTACAAGAATTAATCTCTTACTAATAGAAGTCTTATAAGGAATCACATTAGCACCATCTAAATGCATGACATTATAGGATGTGTTGGCTTAATGCACTCCAAGAGGGGGGTGAATTGGAGTTCAAAAATTTTCTCCTATTTGCAACTACAAAACAAAGAATTAAAGAGAGTAAGGAAGAAAAGCTCGTTCAATGATTTTATAGATATTCGCTCTAACCACTTAAAATCTAATCCTCTACCTTGACTTCACTCACCAAGGATTTCCTCCACACTCTCCGCTATCAAGAACAAAAGTGACTTAAAGGAGCTACTCAATTCTTTTACAAGAAGATAAACATTTCTCTCGAATCTTACTTCTTTACAAGATAAACCTAAACAATCCTTTCTACAAATCACTCTCAAAAGAATAATCACACCCTTAAAGTTACTCACAAATAGGACAAGAAGAACATTACAAGCAAAAATACTCAAAGATTAAATACTTAAGTTAAAACACAAGTTGGTAGGTAGAAATATTCAATACAATGCTCTCTAAACTTATTCCAGTTCTACTACCAACCATATTTATAACCCCATGGTCAAAAATAGTCGTTACTAGCCTTTGGGTCATTAAATGCTCTATAGTTCGCATAATTTCGAGTTGCAGATTTATCAGTATAGTTGGCTTAAATTATAGAACCAGCTCTATACAACCGATTTTGTAAGTTTCATGCACATTTTGTTTTCTTGCACAGCCAGCTGCAAAATATAAAGCCGGCTTCAGGATCCCAAATTTGGAAACATTAAATAATCTTCAGATAAGTCGACCATTGTGCATTAAATGCATCATCACAACCGGCTGCAAAGTCAAAGCTGGCTTTGCTTTTGTTTTCCGCACGCGTCAAACAACAAACTTGAAATTTTCACCCGTAGAACCGTCCGCAAATCTTAGAGCTAGCTCTCTGCACCTTTGCCTTCCAAAGCCGGCTGCAAATTTCTTCAAGCTGGCTCTCTGCACATTGTCCAGTCTCTTTGGTTCTTTTTAGTGCAATCTTAGTTTACTTACTTTGCAATCTTTTAATAGTTTAACTACACACTTAAATAAACTAATTAGTCACTCAAATGTATTTTGTATCATCAAAATCATGTGTATAACAGGGTGTTAATCACCATTATAATTGCATGAAAATAGTGAAAGTTATACCATTATTTAGTGTGTAAATACCATTGAAAGTGGGGAGGTGATAGGATGAAGAAGATGAAACATCTATAATAAATTGATTCATAACAGAATTTTATATTTTAACAATAGATGTTTCACCTTTTACCCACTAACTCCATTTAATGATTCATTAATCTTCATTTATGAATCCACCGAGCTTCATTTATAAATCTACTTAAGTTTATTCATTAAAATATGTAACTCCCCCCTTTCTCTTAACCCATATATGCAACTTTGTATCAAAGAATATACATGGTGAAATGAAAGAGTAAAAGTATAACCCAAATACTTTCTTATTTGTCATACTTTTCTTTCTGTTTTTATCTCACTGTTTTATCTTGTCTTTATATGTATTCTTATACTTTCTCCTACTCAAGTGCTCTTATTTTATATAAGAATATTCACATTGTTTCTACATGTTCGAAAATGTCATTTCTTTTCCCTTTTCTTCTTCAAATTGATGCATCACCCCTATATATCCATCCTTGCAGCACAACTTCAACATTCTCTTGATTGGTTTCCAAGAAAAAATGGCCAGAACAGCTGGAATTGCTTTATCATTAATAAGAATTTTCTCTAATCCATAAAACATTTAAAATTAAAGAGTTTATATTAATTTAATTGACCTATGTAAGCATTAGTAAAACTAATTTCATCATATTTTTATTCATAACCATAAACAACATTACAACATTTTGGAAAAGAATTTCTTGAAATTTGAAAACGACCATGTAATTCAACTTTCAAAAAAAAAAAATTCTCCTCAGCCTTTTTTTCTTCTTCAACCAATCCTACGTTATTTTTACTAACTAATACGTTGATCGAAAGATAATTTTTGATTGACTACTTATCTATAGAAGATGGGTATTTTTACTAGCTAATTCATGGTTAACAACCATCATAAACAAACTATGTTGATCAAGTACGGTCACAACGACTGGAATATTACCAATACCGTGTGCTATTGTAACCATAATCTCATTCATTAAGCTCCTAAATTCATCGTGATCAATCTTACCATTTCGATCCTTATCATATGTGTCAAAAATCTTATTGATATCCTCTTTCGTCGTCGATTCGAATTCTAACATAAATATCTTCTCGAAGCCCTTCTCGAGCTCGACCCGAGACAGCATTCCGTCTCCATCTACATCAAGGGTTTTGAAGTATCCTTGAATGCA